TTTTTTTGGTTTTTCTCCGGTACCGGGAACCGAACTCAGGACCTTGCACTTGCCAGGCAGGCGCTTTGCCGCTGAGCTAAATCCCCAGCCCCCAATACTTAAGCTCTTGAACTCCCTCTTCATGTAAAATGAGGATTAAAATAGCTAACCCGGGTTATTAGGGTTAGATATAATATAAAGAATGGCATAACACGTGACACTTGGTAATTGATAGCTGTGAATACAATCTGCATTTGCTTTATCATAGTTGTTAAACAACTATTCTCCCTTTGTAGCAGCAGATGGGCTGATTTCCACGGAAGACCGAAGGATTCAATTTTAGGGCAAAACAGAGTTTATTGAATTTAGACTGGTCACCGCACATCCCCGACTAGCAGGTTGGGAATGTCAGCGATGGCCTTTGTTTTTAACTTTAAATACACCTTTGGTTTTTATGGTAACCAAAGTATCCTAGGTTATCTTATGGTAACCAAGATTGGACTGTTGTAGCCATTGACACAGATGGCCACACACTGTTTTCCTTGTCCCGTGTGACCCGGTCAGGCCCTGGTCATGAGCCTAACCACAATGATATATACTTTTGCCCTCTGTTTTGTATGTCCCACTTTAGATAACCATACATTTCCTTTACGGTTACAATGTTTATCTAGGACCAGGGGAGGGGTGAAACAACCCAAACAAGGTCATAGATGGTTATCTAGGCCTGGGTATTTTCTTCCCTTAAGGAAACATCCCAGGGCAAAGTTAACTCCTCTGGGATGTTTCTCAAGACACACTTGAGGCTTGTACTTAAGACTAAGACTACTCTAATTTAAGAATGATATGCTAAGAGTTGCTGTCCCCTACACCTTAGCCAAAAGTCTTTGCTAATCAGTTAGATATTTTAGTAAAGCTGTTCAAATTTCATTACAGTGTCATTGTAGTCTGACTTTAGATCCAGAAGTCTGCATATTTGCTCATAGGTTCTTCTTATAAGACCAATTTCTAAGACATACTAGGAAGGACCAGAGGGGTGGTGGTGGTGTGTGTGTTGGAATAAGGAAACTAGAATTGTTGAGAATTTACTTTTATAAAAAATCACTTACTGTTGTTGTAATATTTGTATAGTACTTGAAATAAAAAACAAGTTGACTTTATTTATACTTTGGGTTTCTCATGTAAGAGAAATCATGCAATATTTAAGCTTGTGTGTTTTGATTTATTGCACTTAACATGATGGGCTCAAGGTTTTCCTACCAATGACTCAAATCTATTTTTGCTTTCTCAAAGGGGAAGGGGAACAAGAGATAGAAGGAGGGGAAGGATAGGGGAGGAAAACACGAATTAAGGTGTGTTATGTACATGTACCAACTCCTCACAGGGAATATAATTACGTACCACACATATGTGCTAATAAAAA